CTTTGCACAATGTGCTTGTTTATTATCTGTTGGAACATACTCGTCATATGGTTTGAAATGAGAGGATGATCCATCTCCTCATTACCGATCCTCTGCTTGGTGATGAAAAACAAAACAAAACATATGAACAAAGGAAAATGCCTTCCTGTCATTTCTCAGCCTTCCCTGCGCGGCTCAGCTGGGATGTTAAAGATCTGGATTTAATGAAAGAAGGTGAGAAGGTGAAGAACAACAACAAAACCCGAATGAGCGTATGTTTAGTTATATGGAAAGATCACTGAGAAGAGGCAGTAATTTTCTTTGTACCTAATACAACGCAGTATCTCCCAAGGTCAAAGAAGACCACAGCCCTTCCTTCCTTACCCTTTCATTCCCTACCCTGGCAGCTCACTTCTTCACCTAGAGCAGGTTTCGCAAAGTTTAATTTCAGATGGTGGAGTGAAAAAGAATCTTTTCTAACACCGCCTTGTAGTTCTTGAGAAGCACACGGAAGTAATGCAGGAGTTTCTTTCAGTTGCTTGCACTGCTGGTGGAGCATCTCAGTAGCAGGCATTTCAGACCTCACGCTGTGGATGGCACAGCCCAGCCCGTCTGTCTGCGAGCTTACTGACACTTACCCTTTAGACCGGGAGTGAAGAAGCAGGTTCCCATCTAGTGATACAGAGCCACTAAAAAACAGCACACTTTAATGCTTCAAAGGAGAGCCAATAACAGCTGTCGAAACTCTAAAGCAAAGCTCCGAATTAGAATGAAATCGTGTAGTCATAATTTCATTCCTAAAATGTCCTTAATCAGTGAGCGTTCCAGCCCTGTAGTGTGAGTATCACACTGAAAATACCAAAGAAAACGTGAGGGCCAAACTTGGACCGAACCCCTAAAACTCTAAAAGAGAGTGACGTTGCTTTCCAAACCAGGAAATCATGACTCATCAGCCCCAAGAGACCACCCATTTGGGGAGTGGGAGAGAAGCACGACAAACCATGACAAGTTAAAAAAATAAAATAAAACCCAAAACATCTTGAAGTAGAGCTCCTTTTGGATCCACAGCTATCTCATCAAAGCAGACATGCTTCCTTGATGCTCTATGGCCAGTAGAACTCTTAACACTTTGGCAGGCATAAATTGAGATCTTTCTTTGACGTTGAAATATACAGCCTTAACTGTGCTCTCATCCTCTACATTTCACTGAGTGAATAACCTAAATTACACAGAACGGCAGTAAATTGGCTCATCATAGCCCTGTTCTAATTTTAAAAGGATAAGGATCTGAAAAACCAGACAGCCTAGCACTGAAGGGACTAGTGAAGCCTTTTAAGGGGCTGCCAGAGACTTTCCTCAGAAGGTCATGGATTCAAATTCAACCTGGGTTTGTGATGGCCAAGAGCCATTCAACATTTCATGTTAAATTTATGTGTGCCCTCAACATAATGTTCCTAATAAGGAGGCTGACAGCTTGCATTTGTCATCCTGCTGACTGTCTCAGGAGTACAGTGGATGGCCAACCACATGTGGAAACTAAATCATTTCCTCCCACATAAAGGTGTTCCTTGCAAAATGTGAACTCCAAGGTACTGAAGAGCATCTTGCCTTCACGCCATCTGCTGTCTGATCTCTGCCCCTCTTCCAGCCGCCCCAATCCAAGGGAAAAGTGCAGCAGCTCTCTGACTGTCAGTCTAATACCTTCATGAAAATTTAAAGATGCACATGCATGCCTACAAGAACAGTATTTGCCAAGCAACATAACTCTCGTTTTTGACAAAGCATTCACTTGTGGTGATAAAATGCCAGGTAGTAAGTCAAATTTTGACTCCATTACTGAGTATTATCCTTGAGCTCTAAATAGAAAGTCAGTACAATTCAGCTATCAGGCTCCTCCACTCCCCAGCCCCCCCCCCCCCCCCCCCCCCCCCCCCCCCCCCCNCCCCCCCCCCCCCCCCCCCCCCCCCCCCCCCCCCACCACACCGTTAACAACAACAGAATAGCAAACTAAACAGTTGTCTCGGCTGGAGTCATGACTGAATGAGATTCTGAATTATTGGCTCTGGCCACAGGTCACATTGGCCCATCAACGATCTTAGGTTTCTGCTTGGAATTTCACAGAATCCAGTGAAGATATCCACCATCAATCAAAAGATATCTGGGATGACTTAGAGACACGATAATCAGATTGTTCCACTTTATGAAAAGGCAAAAGCTGGTGTGCCTGAGTTGAGATATAAGATTTTCATGGAGGACCTTTCACGGGTTGATGCTGACCATGACGAAGCTATAGATCAACATGTGGGAGAGTGCTCCTTATAGAGGGGGCACCACCAGGGTGTGTCAGTGTCGTCTAGCTGAGCGACGTTGGACAGCTCTGCCACTCCAACAGCACATGACCCCCAGCTACAGGGGAGGGTGGCGGCACCCAGGTGAAATCCTGTGCCCTGAGAGCACTTTAGGAGTCCAGCTCTCCCAGGTTTCTTGTGACTAAAGATGTCCTTATCACAGTCAGAGGAAGTGCTGCCTCGATCCTTTCTTTTAATTACTAGCAATCATTTGAACTCCTAGGTGGAGGAGAGACTGAAGTTATTTACTGTCATCTGGCCACCTGGGAAATCAGATTCCGGGAGGTCATAAAGAGAGAAAATTTTTGCAAATATTTCCTCCTGCCAGAGGTGTGAGGTGAAGGGAATATCTAACACAACCACAACTCCTGAAAGAAAAAAGCAACAGATGTTGAAGCCTCCTCCCCTCCCCTTCCCTTTGAATCTCGCGCTAGAGCTGTCTCTACCTTGGAGGTGGGCTGAAAATGCCTGTGAGTAGAGCCTGCCCCAAGCAGCAGGGTTAAGGCTCAACACTAATTCCACATCTACTATCTATCTATCGTTCAGTCATTTCTTCCATCTGTTGATGGGCCCTTCAGACCTTTATTGATAACCTTTTCCGATCACCTACCCAGTAGGACTTAAATCATTTCAGCGGTGGTGGACTCTCGATGGAGTCAAATGGTCGCTTGCTTGACGGAAATAATTCTCGTCTAAAGTAGTCTAGGGGGATTTTCAAAAACTGCTCTAGTGCTCTGTGGGAAGCCTTTGTACGATTTGGCCTGACGTTTCCAAAATGGATTTACAGCCTTCCGTCCTCCAGGACCTTGAACACAACCAATCTTCCTTCTTTCCCTGAGAAGTTCGCTTTCCCGGATTCTTGACACGTAGTTCAAATATGGGGTCCAGATATATTACGGTTGCTGTTGGGGTCTGACCAGGGACGGGAAGACAGTGGAGGCCGGTAAAACAGGTCGGTGCGGGATGGTGTCTGGGAACACCAGCAAGGTGTCATAAAATGAACGCCAAGGCGGCCACAAGAGGAGGGCCGAGAACCGAACCCAGAGCCTATCGCCGGGCCCTTGTGGCCGACGTGACGTGGCTCCGTCAGGTGGAAACCGTGCGATCCTCTCCCGACCCAACTCACAAGAGATAAAGATGTCTAAAAAACCACGACCGCCGCCGCACACCCAGCGGGGCCCCGGGGGCGGGGGGAGGGGAGCGCCTCCACGGCAGAAGCGGCGGCCGGGGCTTGTTTGGAGGTTCGCAATTCACCATGATAAATGTAAAGACCAATTAAGGTTTGATCCGTGCACACTGGAGGCAGACGGCGGCTGATAGTGGAACCAATTAACGAGCATGTCCCCTAATTCCTGTCGCGGCCGCCGAGCAAACCGCGCGGCTCCCCAGGCACCCGCCGCGGCTGCCCCGGAGTCCCAGAGCCCCCAGCCCGGCCCTGGAGTCGGGCGTCCTTCTCCAGCGAGAAGGTGCGAGGAACGGGGACCCCTTCTCCAGCGAGAAGGTGCTAGGAGCGGGTCCCCGGGTGGCCGGGGAGGGGGCGCGCCAGGCCGGGAGGAGGGGAGCCAGCCGCCTACTGAGCCCAACTGTTTGCATCCGGGACCGGCGGGCGGGGCGCGACCCAGTGGTAGCGCCGGGCAGGGGCGGCGGGGGCTGGAGAAGGCGCCCAGTGAGAAGCGGGGTGGCGCCCCGAGGGCAGAGGACAGGTGGCAGTGCGACCGCAGCCAGGTAGCAAACGGCCCAGGGGCTGCGCAGCGCGGCGCCAAACTCAGCCTGGCCCGGGGCCCGGCGCGCTGCCACCCGCCGCGGGGGTGGCCTGGGTTGGAGGGAGGGGGCGCGAGACCGCACCCCCGTGCCCCGCGCGCCTCGGCCTCAGGGCTCCCGCTCCCCTTCCCCTTCCGGCTCAGCCGACCGCCCGAGACGTGACCCCCGCGTTGGCTGCGCGCTGCCGGGGCGCGCGTGATTAATGGCCCCGAGGTCGGGGGCGGCGCAAGCTCGAGCCCCTTGTTGGCCTGGCCTGAGTGTGAGGGTACCCAAGAGCACTGCGGGGTCATGGCAGCGGGGGCCTCCGGGAGCGCGGCGGCGGAGGAGGAGGAAGAGGAAAAGCAGATGACGCGGGCTGAAGAGGCTTGTCCCCTCTGGCCCCAGCGCTGGCGCCGCGGCGGGTCCCCCACGCCAAGCAAAGTTTGGAGCCGCGGGCGCCGCGCGCAGGTCCCTCCCCGCTCAGTTCTCTCGGCGGGGTCTGTGCCGCCGCCGCCGCTGCCAGGGCAGGACAAAGGCTCATTAACACGTGATGGGACCGCGCTTCATAAATGGGACTGGAGCGAGAGGGAGCCAGAGACAGCGCGAGCGGAGGGAGAGGCAGGGACCGCGCGAGCGGGACGAGGCGACGGGCGCCCGGGCTGGCGGAGACTGACGGCCCCATGCGGGGCCAGGCGGGGCTCGCGGGAGGGCCCAGTGAAGAGCCGGGGAAGGGGCGAGGCTCGCCTGCGGTCGGAGCAGCGGGACGCCAGTCTCGGTCGCTGTCGCGGGCGGGCGCTGGAGACCGGGACGCCGGCGCGCGGACGGACTGACTCGGTGACCGCCCGCGGGAGGCACACCCCGCTCCACCCCACCCCGCCTCGCCCGCAGCCCGGCGCCGACGCCGCCTCCTGCACGCTACTCCCTCTGCCACCCCTTCCTTCTCCACTTCTTTTCCGCCTCCGCCTCTTCTTGGCTCCCGCGGCGCCAGCGCCTTCCCCTGGCCCAGGCGGGGACCTCGGCTCCCTGCAGAGCTCTCCGTGTCAGTGGGGGACATTTCGTTCTGTCGGACAAGCAGCCCCTGAGCTGGGCGAGAGGTGCCAAGGGAGCTTCTGTCCCGAGGACCGGGGGATGCGAAGGGTAAGACCTGGCAGAGTTGCGTTTGGAAATACTTTTGCTGCCTCCCGCCCCCTCGGGTATGACCAGTGTGGTCCCCAAGTGTCCTTCGTGGAGTTCTTATTCCGTGTGAGCGAATCGTGCGTCGGTGTTTACTTAGCTGTATGGCCCCAGCCTGTTAACTATGATCTGTGCTACTTCTGGAGATTTCTACCATTTACTAGTTATTGAATGTCTGTGCACCTGGCTCTGTATGCACTGATGTCTGTTTGTAGAAAATGTGTAATTGTGCATGTTTGAAAAACGGGCGCTTGAGTTGGTGCTGAATGCCTAGCAAGTGGTCTTCCCAGGGAAATACATCGATCTCTGCTGCAAACCTAGACACTGACTAATGTAAAATAGTAAATGTCATATAAAGAGATGAATGTCAAGTAATAAACTTTTGATATAGAAAAAGCTACAGGAACCACTTCTCTCTGAGGAAAAACAAATGTCCATGTAACTGATACCTAAAATTGAGTGTTGATGGAGTCATTTAACTCAGAAATAGCCATTAGATGACTAAAATTAATGTTGCATTTTTAAAAGACATTTCTTGTTAAGGCTTACAAATCATAAACGAATCACCTCCCAGATACAAATACGTTTGCTGCAATAGATGTGAGAAACTGTCATTTGGCCATTTGAAAGTTTAAAAGCAACATGCATGTTTCTAATTTTAATAGATTGTCTCTCAGATGTAAAATTGAACAGATGAGAAAAACAAAAAAAAAAATGTTTAGTAACATGTTAATCATTTTGCCTCCCATCTTTTTTTATTTTCCTCCAAGTAAGTGCTATTCTTGCCTTTGTTGTTGATTTCTTGATATATTAAGCCTCCTTGGGCATGTAATCCAATAAGATTAGAACAGATTTACTGGTTTTAACAGTGTTAAAAGATATCTGTATGGGTCCCATAACTTCTCCTCATTTTTATTACCGAGCTAATATCTTTTGAACAATGGGGGAAATGCAATTTCTTAGAAGTAACTCAGTGGACACTGAGTATTAGTGGGGTCACCATTGACATCAATCTATTTTGCAGAATATTGAGAAGCTCAGAGCAACCAACCTTTAAGGTTCCCATAGGACTTTATCTGATTTAAAGTGTTGCTTTTCTAATCCTACACTACTGACAGTTTGCAAGGGAAGATATACTGATTGATTTTTCTCTGTCCCTTTTTTCCCTGGTACTCCTCCCCCTCCCTCACTGTCTAACTCACTTAAGAGCAATTTTATAAAAATAAAAGGCCTGTATCGTTTTTAAGTGAGACAGATTATTTTCTGATTATCTCCATATATGAACAGAAGACATGCACCTTCAGAATTTTAATCATTGCATTCTACAGGCATTTATTTGTAGGCACAATGGCAGTTACCATAGTTGGGCAAGAGTCTTGATATTGGACATGGTTTTAAAAAACTAATCCATTTGCGGTTATCAGGAGAACTTACTGTAAACCGACTCTTTTTGTTTCAAAGATGTCTCCCACTCCAGGCTAGGCGTGCACTTGGCTGAGGTATGTATCAAGTATCTGCTGGGGAAAGGTCTCATTGTGTTTCTAAGTATCCATGGGGGTAAAATGATGCCACAAGGTGGAAATACTCAATTATGGCCTTTCAAAAATAAAATTACTGTGCTTGCATACTCGTTGTTAGGAAAGCAAATTAGATATTCATGTCCTTGCATTTTAACAACATTAATATATGTGTATGTAAAAAGAATGTTATGACTAGAATCTTAAGCCATAGGTGATTATTGTTTAGTGGGTAAAGTTTTAAATTCTGATGGAAATCAGATCTCACATTGAAGTAGTGCTTGGCTTTGTTTGTTATCCACTGTTTTCTTTTTCTGTTACCCTTTTCCCAGTGGACCATGTTCCTCTCTGTCTTGCCTGTGAGATTGCTCTTCTCTAATAAGCCTAGCTGCAGGATCAGTGTGTTCTTTTTGGCATTTCAAAATGGTAAAATAGTGAAATTGTTAAATGTTACCGAGATGATACTGCTGGGAATGAAATTATCCAAAAGAACCACTATATTTGTGGCATATTTCAGTCTCTTCCAAAAAAAAAAAAAACTCTGATTCGATTTACTTATCTTCCCAAGAAGGAAGCAGCCCCATTGATTGTGTTGATAAGTGTTTAGTATGCAGTGTCAGCTTATTAATTACTAAGGCAAAGCCTCAGAAACTGTTTCAAAACAGTCGTATAACACTGTTCTTTGCTTTGACTAAAAATTAACATTAACCACTGGAAAATTTAGACAGGCTCCATGGTTGTCTTGTATATTAGTGTTTGGAATTGGAATTCAAATATTCTGCTGTGTAAGAAAAACTATTATGAGATGGAACTTATAATAGCAGTTTATAGTTCACCACGCTTACCAAATGTTTCTTCCAGAAAACAGTTGGCCTAATAAGGGATTATTTCCCATAACTAGCTGTCCAGGAATGCTGCAGAAACAAGAGTAACAAATTAAATTTGAAAATACCTAATGACACATAATTAGCAAAATGAGATTTGGTTATAGCTTCTTGAATTTGTAAGAATTCTAGATGACCGTTATTGTTTCTTTTATTCCAGGAAATATTTTGGAGAAATCTGAATTGATCTATGTTATAAAGTTAATCCAGTCTAATCTAAGATTATTCAGTGAATTAAATGCTTATTAAAGCAATTAAAGCATTATAACAGGCAGTAACCTAAAGGACAGACTTCATCTTACTAACCAAATTCCATGTTAGCTCAGTTGCCTAAAGAACACAGATGAGAGCTTTCACTCCCTACTAAAAAGGATACCATGTCTCCACCAGTGTGTCTGTTTCTTCTATTTTTGCAGTCATCATTTTCTAATTGAACTGACAAATAGTTAGAGTGAAACTAGGCTTTGGGTTTAAATTATTTATAATTCTGCTATTTCCTCTAAAACAACTTGGACCCAACATTGTTTGAAAGACTGTGCTAGGCCCAGGTTTACATACTGCATATCTGTGTTTTGAGAGACAGCCAGCTTTGCTGATTTTTCTGTTATGTATTGAAGATTGGTAAATAACTCAAAGAATAAGAGGAAATCCAAATCTGTTTATATAGTTTGTGTTGCCAAAATTTTAACTTCATGTTTTCTTCCCTGAATCTCTAGTTCTTTCCTAATCCTGTCCTCAGAGAAATGGTGACTCAATATTATAGCTACATGATTGCTGTTTTTAGGGACCTAGGGCACACAACTCTTCGCCACTGAATTGCTGTTTACTGCTTTGATAAGCATCTAATTCGATGTATATTCTTAGATTAGAGTGGAATAACTTTATAACATAGATTAATTCAGATTTGTCCAAAATGTTTCCTGGATTAAAAGAAACAATAACTTCACCCAGAATATGTATATAATACGAAAGTATATATTGCATAATTTTGGACAACTGGACATGTAAACACACTTTTATTTACATGTATAAACAAACTTTTTGATAGAAGTAAATCATGACTGAAATAAAAATTTAGATATCTTGCCTTTATACATTTGAACATATAATTCTGATTTTAAATAAATACTACAAATTTGGGGAAACGTCCACATTCAAAGCAGCTGTGCAGATGGACACTGAAGACAAAGCAAAAGGAAATATCCACCTTGAATCAAAACAAGGCCTTTCTTGTTTTCCAAGATAGGTGGAAATCCTTGGCAGTCTCATGTGTTCTAAGAATCTTGCAAATATGCCAGGAGGAGCATCACCACATTTGATTATAATTTTATTATAAACACTGATGGGTTTAAGATAGGTTTTTTTTGGTTTTTGTTTTTTTTAACCAATCCTTTTAGTTGTTTATTGTTTTTTGGGAAATTAGGGCTATACAAGTTTTAGGAAAATACAGAAGGTTATTACCATATATTAGAATGCATATTGAGATAGTATATTTTTTATATATAACACATTAAAATGTTACTACAAGTGAGTTAAAACTATAGGAAATTGTGTTAGGGAGGAAGGTTTGTAAGGTGGACCCTGTCACCTCTCTTGCTACTTTTGAAATTACTTTATGTTAGAGAAACTTCCATCTCAAACTTGCTCACATGGATAAGAGGTAAGTTTAATACATATTGGTAATCATAGGTCAAAGTCATTACATAAAGTAGTGTGATTACCTTTAGTTCTTATCAAAATATTTACTAAAAGCTTTCCTGTGTTGTATTTCTTGACTAAACGGGGTGCCTCATGGTGAAACAAAGTACATTTGTATAATAGTTTAGAGGACAGTTAGTTGCACGTATAAGTATATTCGTGACTAGTTTTCATTTATATTTTCCATCTATTTGAAGAATTTTTCATATAGATCAATTAATAATGGATAACCTCTAAGTTAAAAGTTTGATTTGGACAGGTAAAGCTAATAACTTAATCATCATGGAATTCTTGAGGTTCATAGTTTATATGGGTTTTTGAGGGAAGAATTGTTTACTCCCAAAACCTGAGCAAATGGGCATGGCAGAGTCTTCGCAGTTGTTCAGGGAATACTCTGAATTCATTTTAGCCCCAGCAAGAGAAACGTTCACACCTGCACTTTAGGAAAGCTTTCAAAGTTTTGCTTTCCTTGCTTTGTTTTCTTTTGTTCTTGAATATGTAGAGGCTGGTTAGATGGAAATCATTGTTTTTGAGCAAACTCTACTTTAACCCATTGTGCTATTGCATAATATTCTATTTTTTGAATGCTTCCAAAAGTACATTTTGCATTTTTTTGACTGCAAGAAGGAATTTAATTTGCCTTTTCTCTCAACACTAATGGCAAATAATTTTTCCCTAAAGTACAATATTTTACTATTTAATGTCTTATTTTTCCACTCTTATTTGGATTCTTAAGGAAATTATGTTTTTCAAAATTTATTTTAAATGAGAGGGTCTCCCTCTTTTCTTCACCATTTCTTTATTCATTCTTTTAGATCGTAACTTCAGTGAAGAAAATTGGAGCTAATATGAGTCCTGAAAATTG